TGTCCGGTAAGTTCGGAAGCACTGCTGGCGCTTCGACTAGCATTTCCAACAGAAGTGCAAACTAGGCCTTGCTTGGCCAATTGGGTGCAACCCATGATAATTTGCGGGTGTGCACCTGTCGAAGTTTTCTCGGGTGCCCGGTGAACTAGCGGGAAGGGAGGAAAGGCGTACACAACTAAGTGGGTCCACGGGGCTAGCAAAGCGACCCTGGCCCAGGCTTCTGGAGTCAGCAGGAGTGTTACGTACGTCGGGAGGCTTGGCGTTCCGGGGTGCGGCAAAACGGTCCAACCTTGGACCGTCCCACGGCCGAAACAGCCTAGAGGCTACCCACTGGGGTATCAGCTACTCCGTGTTCTGGAGACAGACCCGCCCTGAAAGGACGTCGCGAGACTGTTCCTCACCCCTGGAAGGTGGTGTGCGGTTAGCTCCACATTGTATTCCAGGCACCAAAGGAGGATTTTGCTCCGCTAGGACTGACAACGATGGGGAATGCGTCCCCCCTCCTTCTTGAAGGAGGCTGCTTAGCGCTAAGCAATACGCTTGAAATAGCTAAGCCAAGCTAACCTCTGTGTCAAAACTCCATGCCCAGGGACACCAACTGCACGTTGGGTCGAGGTGGGACTTGTCGATTTACTAATGAGCCCAACTGGTGAAGTAAATCCTGTGTTAGCCTGACGCGTTTGGCTATTACCTCTTGCCCGGGTTGTTGGTAACCGGAAGTCTGGGTACGGATTGAGGTGTACCGACATCTGGTGAAGCAGCAGCACTACCTGTTTCATCACTCTGGTGAACACTGTGCCTAACCCGAACGGGGGGCACCCGAAATTTGAATACTTGGCCCAGCTGGGCGATTCAAAGGAGATGGCAACTCGCTGGGTGCATCGATACATGCCGGTAGGCCCCGCTTAAGTCTAGTGGGGCTAGCCAGTCAAAACGGTGGATGGAGAAAAGAACCCTGAATGGTGTCTCCATGTGGCACCGATCGAGGAGCACGTACTGATTCAGTCTGCCTAAGTCCAAAACTGGACGCCTGCCACTTGTAGAGTTGATACTACGAACACATTTGGGTAGAAGCCTGGCCTTAGTTCCGGCTGATGTACCCTGTGTATGGCGTCTTTCCCCAGCAAATTGCTACTTCCTGTCTGATTGCTTCCGCCTTGCGAGAGTCCCCAGGCAGTGCCCAACAGGGGAGACACTGACGGGGGGAAATTGAGATTTCAGCGGTATCCCATAAACGGATGTCACCACCTGGAAAGGTCCAGGGATCGGTCACCCGCCGCCTCCAAACCAGACTACACCGGCGCAATCTGTGTACGACAGGGATATGTGGCCATGTGTTTGGCAGTTGCGAGGGGGGGGGGGTTGCTCCCTTCCCCCATGAGGCGAGTTCCCCAAGGCCTGAAGTAGTCACTAAGCCTAGGGGCACGCCACTAAATGTCGCCTGGTCTAGGAGGCTGGTGTGTTCTGCAGAGTGCTGGTCACGCATAATAATGTGCTCAAGCAACTATGCCCTCAGGGCTGGATGGGTCGTCTTCAATTGGCAAAGACACCCATGGAACGCGGCTATCCCCCTTTGCCCGGTTTGCCAAATTCGTGGTACCGGGGTCTGGGGAAGGAGCCTTGGAATCCGGTTGGGGGCGTTTTGGTCTCATCCCACGCTATGGGGTCTGATCCCGAAACCACACCGACCGGGTAGCGTTTGGTCCAGTGGGAAGTGTTGCCTAATGTTATCCCCACCCGGGGGCCTTAAGCATTACATCCTCCGCGGCTGACCAACGCCGCCCATCAACACCGTTTGCGTGCCCTGCGCCCCACTCCGCACTCAGGCGGACAGGGAGAGATTTGCCGACGGGGTTGCTTTGGATCCCGACGCCTGTGATCCCATAAGCGTTGAAGCAACCTTAGGTGGTCGCTTTAGGATCAAGGGTGGGGGTATTTACATCGTATCACTGGGATCGATGATACTCGACCTTACCCCAAAAGCGTGGCTCACCGAAACATACAGATGGAAGACTCTGAGGGACCGCCCGGAGTACCGGCTGTATCCGACGCGAGCGAACTGCATCTCCTTTCACTTTAAATATGTGAGGGGGAGCGTGTTAGACTGTGCGTCTCATGACAGGGTCGGTTCCCTCTGGGGACGCCCGTGGGTCAGTAAGAAAGGAGTCAAAACCCACAGCCGGGACAGGACACAAGGAAAAATTCGTTACCATTGTACCGTTACCGCATGACGAACCCTAGCTGGCTGAAAGTAGGGGGGGTCAATGTGTGCCCTGCCCTGAAAGCCCTGCCCCGAGATTGGAGACTTGGCTGCCAGCACCCTGTTGGCATTT